CCTTCCCCCTCCCTTCCTCTGCCCCCCTCCCCCATGCACCCTTGATAATTTATAAATTATTATTATATCTTATATTACACTGCCTGGCGTCTCCCTTCACCTACCCCTCTGTTGCCCATCCCCCAGAGAGGAGGAGGTTATATGTTCAGCTGATGATTTTGAGCTTCTCTATTATCTCTTCCCACAAATGTAGTCAATTGATTTCTTTGTATTTCATCTGGTGAGTCATCATTTATGTTGTAATTTTCTTTCTTTCTTTTTTTAACTTCTGAAAGGAAGAATTTTCCAAGAAGAAATAATTGGTTTTGCAAAACTCTGCAGTGCGATCTTTAGTTTTGTTTCTATGGCCAAGGCCATATTTTTCTTGCTTGCTTTCTTTTTTTTAATACTTTTATTAGGGGCTCTTATATTTCTTATCACAATCCATACATTCATCCAGTGCGTCAAGCACATTTGCACATATACCGCCATCCTCATTTTCAAAGCATTCTCTTCCCACTTGAGCCCCTGATATCAGCTCCACATTTCTCCCCACTCCCTCCCCTGCCCTTCTTCCCTCATGAACCCTTGATAAGTTATAGATTATTATTTTCATATCTTACATCGTCTTCCATTTCCCCTCACCCACCTTTCCGCTATTCAAACCCCCTGGGAGGGGGTTCTAGATTGAGCCTTGTGATTGATTTCCCCTTTTTCCGCCCCCCTCTCCTAATCCTCCTGGTATCTCTACTCTCACTGTTGGCCCTGAGGGGTTTATCTATGCTGGATTCCCTGTGTTGCAAGCTCTTATCTGTAGTAGTGTGCATGCTCTGGTCTAATCCGATTTGTAAGGTAGAATTGAGGTCATGAGAGTGGGGGAAAGGAAGCACCAAAGAACTAGAGGAAAGTTGTATATTTCATTGGTGCTATACTGCACCCTGACTGACTCATCTCTTCCCTGTGACCCCTCTGTGAGGGGATGTCCAATTGTCTACAGATGGGCATTGGGTATCCTCTCCATGTCTCCCCCCGCCCCCACCCCCATTCACATTGGGTATGATTTTGTTCTGGGTCTTAGATGCCTGATACCTGATCCCATCGACACCTCATGATCATACAGGCTGGTGTGCTTCTTCCATGTGGACTTTGTTGCTTCTGAGCTAGATGGCTGCTTGTTTATCTCCAAGGAAGGCCGTAGTTTTCAACTACTGTTTCTTCTTCTTTGTTTCCAACTTTTGCATTCCATTCTCCAATCATTGTCAGTGGATCTTTATTACATGTTGGATCAATTTCAGACAGAAGAAGTTGGTAGAGTTCTTCAATTTCTTCACTAGCTTTAGTGGTTGGTGTGTAATTTTGAAGTAATAGTTTTATTAACTGGATATTATCCAGTATGCATGCATAGATATTATCCTACCACAAACAGCTTTGTACTTCAAGATAGCTCTTGAAATGTCCTCTTGAATTTGTCATTCCCAGCTTAGCATATTATAAGGTTGTGTGATTCAAAATAGTTTATATTAGTCCATTTCAGCGAATGCTTAGGCTATCCATCTTTATGCCATCTATTTCATTTATTACCACTTCCAGTTTTCCTAGATTGAAACTTCGTACAGTCTATGTTCCAGTTATTAGTAGATGTTTGCAGCTGTTTCCTTTCATCCTGAATTGTGCTTCATCAGCAAATGAAGTTCCTGAAAGCTTTGCTCCATGCATGTTGGCTTCGCTTTGAGAGTGGTTTCTAACCTGAAGGGCTCATCGTCCAACACTATATTTGACAGTGTTCCTCTACTAGTTATGAGGTTTTTAGTAGCCGACAGTGGTTCACTGCTATTTATAAAGTGCTAATTTCTCAGAAGTGGGCAGCCAATTCATTCTTCGGCATCTGCTCGTAGTCTCGAAGCTCTGCTAAACCTGTTTACCTCGGTATTCGGTTTACTGCTGGTATTTGAACGACCAGTGGCATAGCTTCCAGCATCACAGTCACAGGTAAGCCACCTCTGTAGGACAAACTGACAGACAAGTGGTGGCAGTGAAGACCACAGCCTTGGAAACCCGATGGAGCAGCTCAACTTTGTCCTGCAAAGCCAATCTGGGTTGGAATTGACTGGGTGGCAATCAGTTTGTGTGCTTGCTATCACTTTGTGTGGTTTTCTGAGTGAGTCACTGAATTTTAACACAGAGGGATTGCTTTCCTGTCCCTGTTCTTTAGAACTCTAGGGTCTTGCTGGCGAGATGGCGCTCCAAAGTTATCTGCTTGAAATGAAGCGGTTCTCTTTGTCTTGCAAATCAACACTCCCCCTCCCCACATATGTACAGAAATCAGTTTGGAATTCATGGGGCTTTCAGGTTATTTCACTTGTGTGAATTTTGTGGCACGTTGATGTAGGGAGCCTGGGTGGCACAGTGGTTCAAGTATAAGGTTGCTACCTCAAAGGTCAGAGGATCGAGCCCCACAGCTACTCCACAGGAGAAAGCAGGGATACTCTGCTCCAGTAAGGATCCACAGGCTCCCAACCCTAGCGACTAATTCTACTTTGTTCTATATGGTTGCTAGGCGTTGGAATTGACTCGATGGCAGTGGGGATTTGTGTGTGTGTGTGTGTGTGTGTTAAGGTTTCTAGGGATTTCACAGGACTTTCAGTTGTTTAGAAGAGCCTCTGGAGCCGGGATGTGGGCTGCGACCAGGGGGAGTGCAAAACAACTGAGGTGGGAGAAGAAAAATAGGAGCACTTTAATTATAGGTACTGTTTTACTCATTCTGTAAAATTGTTATTGGTTGATATTGGTTAGCACCTGAGCACTTAACCACTGCATCACCAGGGCTCCTGGAAAGCAGCTGTAGACTATATATGTAAACAAACTGGGGTTGTTGTGTTTCCATCAAAATGTAGTTACCAAAACATGGATGGATCTGACCCATGAGCTCTCATTTGAAACCCCATGATCCACTCTCATCAGGATTACAGGCAAGAAAACCCTCCTGAGCTGTTCTGCTTTGCGACACATGAGGCCCAATGGGTCAGAATGGAGCCAACAGCAACTTTTTATTTGTTTTGTACGCGAGGGCAGGAGAGCCGACAATGAGTAAGCGAAAATGGCTGACATGGTAATTTTAGATAATAAAGGGTCCTAGCAGCCTTGGTGGTGTAGTGGTTGCACATTGGGCTGCAATCCGCATGGTCAGCAGTTTGAAACCACCAGCAGCTCCACAGGAGAAAGACTGGGCTTTCTACTCCTGTCAATAGTTATAGTCTCTGAAACTCACAGGGGGTTGCTATGAGTCAGCAATGACTGGATGGCAGTGAGGTTGGTTTGAAAGAAACAACAGTGATGTGACAGAGACTGGGTAGCCAGAAAAGAGTCTCATCGAGGATAAAACGTTTGAGCTGATAGCTGACAAGCAGGAGCTACCTGCAAAAAGCTCTGGGGAAGAGCATTCCATGTGGAGGAGGCAACAGGTGGAAAGACCCTGAAGCGAGGAGGGGGGAGATGTTGCAGGAACAGAAAGATGGCCAGCACAGGCCAAGGCAGAGATGTACTCCAGGAGGCAGGGAGCGGCCAGGCCAGAGGGGGAAGTTGGAGGCAGGACTACATCCCTTCCTTCTGTTCTCTAGTCCAGTCTGCCCTTAAGTGATTCTTTGCTAAGAAGGATCCCAGACCAAGTCAGCACCCTCTGAGGGGTAGCGTGGCTCCTGTTGCTGCGGGCCTTAGCCATGAGGCTGAGAAAATACTCACCGAAATAACTCCTGGAAGTTGAGCCACCCATTCTGGTTGTGCGGAGACACCAGGAGTTTGGTCTTCACATCTGGGCAGTCCGCCTGAATGGACTCCACAGCTGGGACCACCTCCTCGCTGGCCACAATGCACTTGGCCTTGGATGCTTGCAGTCGGTAGAGAATGTCCTTTGCTGTCAGCTGAGTCGTTCCTGGCATGAAGACAAGCCCTGGGGAGGATAAAGGGCCCCAAGTGGAGCAGGATTGTTGTTCGTCAGGGAAGATTCTTCGTAGACAAGCCCTAGGCTTTGTACGTGGGTGGGGAGAAACGAATACTGAGCCATTAGCAATCCCTGCTTGGGTGCCCAGGGCCGTCCCACAGGATGTGGGTCACACACTCTCAGAGCACTGACTGCAGAGTCCACCAGGCAAGGGGTCTAGTCCTAACCCGGCCACTTGCTAGCTTTGTGACCAGGAGCATGTGACATGACCTCTCTGTGCTTTCGTTTCTTTATCCTTGAAACATGGGTAATAATATTAGGTAATAGACATAGCATATAATAAATTAGATAATAATGGGACAAAATTATTTTATTATGTATTCGATAACGTTAGGTGACAAATTAGATAATAAAATAGATAATAACTATAATATGATTAGATAATAATATGGGTATTAGAATTCTCTTTATATTCTTATCTCCTGAATTTTGTAGATGCTTTGTAACATGCGTTACCGGAGGGTAAGTCAGAAGGTCCTGCTATAACGTCCTAGACACATTGATGACACACAAATATGCAGATACTCCTGCTTCTCAGCATCCCCTCTGCGGAGGTCTATCCCCTTCTGCAGGCAGGGTTTCCATCCCTCTCACCTTTCCCCAAAGGATTCTGAGCAATTTGATTTGCAACCATCAAAGGGCAGTTTGGTATCCTCAAGGAACTCCAACACTGTTCCTTTGAAACGTTCTTTGAGTTTGGGGAACAAAACGACATCTGGAGGGGAAAGACATCAGGGGACTGGTGGGTAGATGGAATAAGATTTTCCAGCAAAATTCTCCTAGCATAGCCCCTTGATACCCTCAAAGATTTAGCAGGTGCCTCGTGATGAAAAAAAAATTCTTAATGAAACTTTCCTGACCGTTTTCTCAACAGTGCAGTTTTAATTTTCTTAGAACAAACGTTTTTCTATTAAGCCTCCATGGTCATACGGGGTCTTTTGAGAAAATCTTTCAAGATTCTACATTTGGCTTCCAAGACTGTAATCATTATGGAAGCAGATTGCCACAGCTTTTTCCCGTGGCTCTGCCGAGGGGCTGTGTGATATAATAACTGTACTATTCACACATCAGATTTACTCCTTGTGAGCCAGAAAGCATAATCCTCAGCTGTTTGCTTCACACCTAATTACCTGACTGTTCTTGATCATTCAACCTGGGGCTGATTTTTATGACATTTTGCCTATTGCGTAAGTTAAGTGCTATCAAGTTCATTTTGGGGAACATGTAGACTACCCTTAGGTTCCTCGCAATCCCGATTGGTTTCACTTTGCAGAATCTTTCTAATAGTGAGTGTAAACATAATTTTACACAGTGTTATTTTGACTTAATTGGAAATTGTAAAATATCATTATAAAATCTTTGTAATTATCCTTTTAGTGATTCTCCCCCAAGCTGGGGCACCAAAGTTTCAATCAGCCATAAATATATTTTAATCACAAATGTAGTCTCAGCTACAGCAACAAAGCAAAACAAAATCAACCAAACCCACAGTCACGCAGATGTATTCGGACTCATCGTAGCCCTGTCGGCCAGAGCAGAGCTGCTCCCTGGGGCTTCGGAGACAGGACTACACAGAACAGCTTTCTCTCGTATTACAGTTGGTGGGATGGAACGACCCGCTTTGCAGTTGTTCTGCTTTAAAGCCATCAGGGCTTGTTAGTCTCAGCTAAGATATAAGCTATTTGACCATTTCTACGTGTCCAATATTTTATTATTATAAATGACATTGCAACAAACGTCTTCGTATTTTGTATAGTTGTGTACCCTTTAGCATTTATCAGTAATTTATTCGTTTTTATTATTATTTATCTTATTTATTAGCAATTGATTTATAAACATTTAGTCAAGTTCTAGAGCAGGAAGCAGCAAACTTTTTCTGTAAAGGGTCCGAAAATAAACTCATTGGGCTTTGTGGACCACATGCTCCCTGTCCCAGTTGCTCCATGGGAGAACATGTCTGCTTCCCTAAGAATTACAGCTTTGGAAACTCGGGGGAGTCCGCCTCTGTCCTGTAGGTTGCCATGATTCAGGATCAACTCTGTGGCAACTGGTTTGGTTTGGTCCTAAAGAGGCAAAGACTCCTGTTGGGGTTTTTAGTTGGGGTGCCTTATAAATGACTGTTTTGGAGCCGTATGTCTGTCTCACACCAAGCTTTTAGGAAGATGAGGCTTTCTGCTCTGAAGACTTAACAAAGCTGCAGCAATCCAAAGTGGTAGCTCCACTCCGTCCTAGAGCATCACTTCGGTGTCAGAGTTGAGGTGATGGCCGTGAGCTTAATTTGGACTCTTTCTGTTTGGAAACCGACAGAGGGCTTCCAGCTGGCGTCTACAGACTTGCGAATCTTTGGGTTGTGATGGACTTTTCCTCCGTTTCAAATCCAATCACATCGTTTTCTATCTGCCACCTTAAGCAAGCTGCTTAACCTTTCTGAGCCTCAGTTTCCTCTCCTACAAGAGGAAATAATAATATTTATATAATTATATTATAGTATATAATATTATAATTATATTATAATTTATATAATAATAAATATAATTATTTATATTTATAAAATAATAATAATCGGGCACAATAATATCAGAGCACTTCTTGGTTTAAAATTAAGAAAGGGGTGCATCAGGGCTATAGCCTCTCAGCATATTTATTCAAGCTGTATCCTGAGCAAATCATCAGAGAAGCTGGATTATATGAATGAGAATATGGCATCAAGACTGGGAGAGACTTAT